AGCGTTTAGAAACATTTAATTCTTATTATTATAAAATTGGAAAAATCTCTCTGAAAACATAAGGAGATTATACAGACAGAACTGTCAGCGTTAGGGTGTGTGTACACTGCACCGGGCCCCAGTATTCATATTTCAAATATATTATAGACTTGTTACTCTTGAACAATTCTGCACTTCATTTTGTTTCCACATATTGTTCTTTTAAAATTTCTTAAGTGGCCCCATTATAAGTCTGTGCACTAGGGATACTAAACACTTAACACCAGGCCTGGCATACAGCGTAAAGTCAGAACGATATTCAGGAGCCACAACGCAATACTATACACCAAACCACCCACAGACCAAACGGAGAGACAAAACACTATCTACCAAACCACCCAAAGACTCAATGAAGAGGAAAACCTCCATCCCTTGTGTGCGTCGACTCCAATTTATTGGAGAAACAAAAACACCAACGCAAGTTGAAATTCAAAAGCATAATAGACATACAAGATTGTAATATCAATCTATCTAGTCTAATAGTCAATTATGTTAGAGGGAAAGACCGTACAATGAAATAGAATAATGCTAACATAATGGGATATGATACGAGAAAATGTCAACCTGCCATAGAAATCATGAAAACCTGGATACCCCTCTCGAAACCATAGATAATTAATTAATTTAAGTCCTAATGGGGAAGATCCCAGACCAGTGGATAGCAAGTAGTCTTTTTAACAAACTATTGGCAACAGATTATCAGCCGAAATGTATAGTACATGTCAATTTGTAATTAATACTCAGAAGTAAAATGAATTAGTATCTAATTAATAATTAGGTTTAGGTGATCATACAGGCAGAATTTTACTATTGTAAGTCCGTAAACTTATCATTGACAAACTGGGGGGGGGGGGGGGTTTACACAAACAAATGTAGTTACTGTGTGATGCAATCTGAAAATACAGAGAAGTGTTTATTTGTTTTGTTTGTTTGTTTTCAGATATTCGTACAAAGCTTCTCAAGAGCTATGTACTTAGCCGTTCCGAATTTTGAACTGATAGCCTAGAGGGAACGCAGTTAGTCAACAGCACCCATTATAGTGGTATTTTGAACTCCACGCTCAATCTCAATAGATGACTGAAATAGAGGAAAATAACTATGTGACAAATGTTTCATCAAACGATCTTCATTGGTATCAAAAAAGGGGGAAATTCTGGCAATCCCCTCTCCCCCCCTCACCCGAAGAATAGATTAACTTGACAATAAAGTACCAATCCTACGTAAAGCTCTAGTACAAGCCATTTCATATATTATTACATTTTCACCTTAAAAAAATCCACGGACTTTAGTACGAATTCCCCCACCCTCCCAATTAAATATCAAGTTATGTTGCTTTGCATGAATATTATAAATCTTAATAACTAAAACAACTTAATGAGCTATTTTAGTGTCAAAGTTAGTCTGTGAGTGAAAAAGATGCTGTGGTTCAGTGTACTTTACGTGTTTACCGTACATTGTTGAACGTTCTGTGTGAAAGCATTTCGTCGTTCTAGTATATGATGGGATAACGAATGGTTCGTAACAAACTACCGTATTTTTCGGAATATAAGACGCACCGGTTTATTTTGAGGACAAAGTTTTGGGGAAAAAAGCTACAGTCGCATTTGAAAGATTTTTATTGAACAAAAATTCTAATTGATACTTTAGAAATTAGTAT